GGGTCTTGCCATCAGTTTGTGAAGAGCAACCAATAGCCTGTGATATTTGGGAATTTCCATGGTGCTCCTTAGGGAACAAATCAAGAAGATGTAAGCCATGCCTGGCACTGCTGTATTGTTGTTATTTGGAACAAGATCTCACTCTGAAGCCCAGGTTAGCCTGGAATTCATTATAGTAGCCAGGCTATTCTCAAACTCATGGTAATTGTCCAGCCTCAGCTTCTTCAATGATAGGATTAGCTAATATGTCTAAGGTATTTTAAAGAACTTTATTTTAGCTTATAATGTAATTTATGTTATAAGCCAGAAGTATATATTATTTTATTTTCATATATATATATACTGTATTTTTGGGGTTTTTTTGTTTTTGTTTTGGGGGGCATGGTTTCTCTGTGTAGCCCTGGTTGTCCTAGAACTTACTCTATAGACCAGGTTGTAGTTGAACTCACAGAGCTCTGTCTGCCTCTGCCTCCTGAGTGCTGGGATCAAAGGTGTGTGTCACCATTGCCTGGCTGTACTGCATTTTTAACTTACATATCTTCTCCAGAATTTCTTGATGGAAAAGAAATAAAAAACCTGGAAAGGCAGTTCCTACAGAATTGGAAAGCATGCAAGGATGCCAAGAAAATCAGCAAGAAAAAGAGCATTAAAAGTGAGGAACCCAGAAACTCCTACATAAGTAAGTGCCCATCACTAGCCCACCACCCCCAGCAAAGGGAACAGCCTAAAACGTCCTAGAAACAAGAGGGAAATGGTGCTCAGGATTTGTGGTAGAAGTGCATAGAGCTACGTAGTTGTCAATAAAGGTAATACAGCTATTAGGAACTTCTGTCAGCAATGAAGATGGTAACCAGTAGGAACAAACACTGCACTAGGTGTATATTGGCCATGCCTGTGTCAGCCACATAAGCATAGTTATGTCATGAGTGTGGGGAAACTGTGAGGTTTTATTCCAGCAAAGGTGTACAATATCAGTTGCATAAGTGATAAAACAGTCAAGGTATAAATTGCCAAACCTAAGTCACTATATAGTTAACATTAGTGCAAAAAAATGTTTTTGTCATTAGAATAAAAAATAAAAATGTGTCACACATGGTCGCTCACACCCATAATCCCATTACTTAGGAGGCTGAGACAGGAGGATCACAATAAGGCCAGCCTGAGTTACATGGTGAATTCCAAGACAGTCTAGGCAACAGAGTGAGACCCCTTCAAAAAAAATGATAAACAAATAAATATTAAAATTAAATGTAAGTTAACTGTACCTGACCTATACTCTGGCTGGCCTACTTCTTATGCACACATGTTAAGGCCTAAATGCTTGGATTATAATATGCAATGGTGTTAAAAAGGACACACTAACCTTTGCCTAATTAACACAATTAAATATAAATGAGGGTAGTGTAACAGTTATCTTGTTGGATTAGGAAGCAATCTAGAATCGATTCCACAGAGTCTATAGTGGAATAGGCCTCTTCTGCCCACAATTATCTGGATCCCAGCATTGACTCCAAAACTCACTCTTCTTGGCTCCTTTGGATACAAGGAATGGAAGCTTTTCAGAGGGGTTGTTAGGCCTAGGGAATGGACACTGGAGCAGGACAGTTGCGTAGAGAGCATGGAGGCCTGCCACTCTAGGACAAGGTTGAGGTGAGGTGTTGGGGAGGGGTAGAAAGACATGAAGGTTTGGTGATCTTGCTATAGCAAGATATATCGTGTCACTGAATACGGACTATTGAAAATCATTTAGGAGAACTGGGGCTTTATTAGCTGACAGTGCATCAATGACTGATACTGTGCTGGCGCTGTGCATTTTTCATGGTCTGAAACTTGTACAACACATGGGAGGCATTTCTTCTGTTTTTCCTCCTGACTGTATTGTAACCTTGTAGCTCTGCATAGTAGTGTGCACACTTGTACTCTTAGAAGGCTAGGGCAGGAAGATTTCAAGTTTGAGGCCAGCCTAGGCAACTTACCCTGTCTCAAAATAAGGAAGGGCTGGGTATGCTAGCTCAGTGGTAGAACACTGTGTGTAGAGCTCTAGCTTCACTCTCTCTCTCTCTCTCTCTCTCTCTCTCTCTCTCTCTCTCT